TATGTATGTATGTATGTATGTATGTATGTATGTATGTATGTATGTATATATATATATATATATATATGCATGCATGCATGCATGCACGCATGCAGGTAGGTAGGTAGGTAGGTATGTATGTAGATAGGTAGGTAGGTAGGTAGGTAGGTAGGTAGGTATGTATGGATGTGTGTATGTATGGATGCATGCATGCATGTATGTATGTATGTATGTATGTATGTATGTATGTATGTATGTATGTATGTATAGGTGTATGTCTGTCTGTATGTCTGTCTGCATGCATGTATGTATGTATGCATGCATGCATGCATGTATGTATAGATGTATGAATATATGTCTATATGTATGCGTATGTACACACATACATAAATGTCTATATATATGCATGTAGATATAGATATGCACTTATGCATGTTTGCATATATCTAAGTATGCGTATACTTGTGTAGGTGTTGGCCAGCATGGGCCCCAAACAGTGTGTTTCAAGCAGCTTATGTGTTGAAGTCTGTGCGGTGCAATCGATGTGGAGCAATGCGTGTGGTGTGCTGTCCATGTTGTGCGGTCTATGTTGTGCAGCATCTCTTGGGTTGCTCAAGCTATGTGGTGCGATCTATGTGGTGCTGCAATCGATGTTGCGCAATTGAAATTCGGGTGAAACAGCTTTTAGACCCGGACCCCAGTACAACGACCAGAAGTCATGTCAGGACGCGTGCCCGTTGGGTTCTGGTACGAGCTTGCACTGCGCATCACAGCGGCGCGCCCTCAGACTCCCTCTCGGGGGTCGGCAGACCCATTCGCATTTTATGCTTCAGTCGGCGGTCTTCCTTCTCCCTCGCAGCGCGCGGGAAGGCGGAAATGCATTTCAGCTCGCCCTAGGAGGGGTCCGACTTTTCCTCGAAGATCCCGGGACAATTCTATTCGTCCTGTATCGGTACTACGGTTTTTTTTCCGAAGTTCGCGGTTTCGTATGACGAGTTGCATGCATGTATGTATGGTCTATATCTATGTATAGATCGGGGTACAGGGGCGGGGGCCTTCTCCAAGCTGCTCCTCAGGGGCAGCTGGGAGAAGGCCCCTGACCGTCACTTGGGCGCCGTGCTTCTCGGGGATCCTCCACAACGGCTGGAGGGCCGCTCGGACGGCCTGACGTGGCGTCAAAGAGACACCGGAGTGGTTTCAGATGTCCCGCGTGGCTTCCGACGGCCCCAGATAGCTTCAAGACGGCCCAAGGGAATTCGGCGAACTTTCCCCAGAGGGTCCCTAATAGGCCAAAAGCATGGAGTTTGCTTCGGTTTCGCAACGTTCCCTGGGGTCCTCGACTTTCGAGCTGTCGACGCTCCATGACGTCCCAAGAGAGGCCCTCAAGACCGCCCCAAGACGGCCCAACAGGCCCACCAGAGGGCCCCAAGACGGGCCAACATGGTCCCAAGACGGCCCAAGAGGGGCCCAAGACGGTCTTAAGAGGGGCCCGAACGCAGGAGCCCGAAACGATAATTCGAGCCTTCCGTCCTAAGATACCCCCAGACGGCCCAAGAGGACTCGATGAACGCTCCCCAGATGGCCGCAAGAGGCAAACACACAACACTTGTCCTTAGGTTTGTGAGTGTTTTCGAAGGTCTCGACTATTCGAGCTTCTGCCGCTCCACGCCGTCTCAGGAGGTCCCGAGACGGCCTAAGAGGTCCCCAAGAGCATCTTTCTTCACTCCACGTCTGTTGATATCCCGTCAGCGAACACCCGACAGAGGCACACCGTGGAGGCTCTGCTGCGCATCGGCGCGCTCGTGGAGATCATGACCGACGGCAGGTCCTGATGGGCCAGTTTTCCACCACCACTACAATAGGTAGGACGGGGGAGAAGGGAGGATGGGGAGGTCCTCCTCCTCCTCCTCCTCCTCCTCCTCCTCCTCTCCTCCCTTCCTCCTCCCTCCTCCCTTCCTCTTCCTCCTCTTCCTCCTCCTCTCCTCTTCCTCCTCCTCCTATCCCTCCTCCTCCTCCTCATCCTCCTCCTCTTCCTCCTCCTCCTCCTCCTCCCCCTCCTCCTCCTCCTCCTCCTCCTCCTCCTCCTCCTTCTCCTCCTCCGCCTCCTCCTCCTCCTCCTCCTCCGCCCCCTCCTCCTCCTCCTCCTCCTCCTCCTCCTCCTACTCCTATCGATGGTAGTGGTTGTGGAACGGCGGCCCCATGAGGTCCCCGAGCCCGTGGGGCGGGCGCGTCCCGGAGACGGTGTGCGACCGAGCGGGCGCCTGCCTCGGGGAGAAGCTGCGGCAGAGGCTCTGGGACCTGGTGGTCGATTTCCCCGTCTTCGACGCGGGCGATCGACGAAGGGAAAACGGCATACAGTGCGGTTTTTAAGACATGCTCCGCGTGCGGATCATGTATTCGAAAAAGCATGGTTTAGTATGAAAAACAACGATGAGTTCATGTATACATGTATTCATAAATTAATCATGTATTAACAACCCCATATTCATATGTTCAAACATCCCATGTATCAAAAAAACTGCCCTGTACAAATCGGCGTCGCCCCCAACGCACTTATACTACATGTGCGTCGCACCCCCCAGTGGCGACGCGCGCGCCGAGAAGTCTTGTAGCAGATGCGTCGAGGCGGGCGCTTTCTGGCCACGCCGCTCGGGTAACGATGCTCTACAGGATGCGTATACTGTATGTTCAGGTCGGACGCGCGCCTCCAAAGAGAACATACAGTACTAGTATGTCCCGGTGCGTCCCAGACAAAGAGATCTGACGCTCCAGCAAACATTGGAGCGGGCGGTGCATGGCTGGCTTCGGCCTCGGGAGGCCCTCGCCGGGCCTCGGGAGCGTCAGAAACAACTCAGGGCGAAAAACCAACCCCAGGGAAGTGGTCCAGACCTCAAAGGAGAAAAAGGTACCCAGACCTCTACCCCCTCGCCCGTTTTTCCCTTTTTGGGCCTCCTGGGAGGCCCTCGTCGCCACCTTTAGATTCGCCTCGAAGTTCTGGTCAGAACGCTCCCGGGAGAGGTCCCGGGGGTAGCGGTATCGGTACCTTTTGGTTCCCCCAAGACCTCCAGGGGCCACGCATCGAAAAAGCTGGGGAGCCCGATAGCCCCAACCTGCCCAGGACCGTGCGGATTCGCGATCGGGGGCCTATCGCCGATCCATCGGCGATGTATCGCCGATTCCTGGTCGATGTTTCCCCCCTACGCCATTCCCCCTATCGTTGCCACTCAATGCAGGGGGGCGCGCATTAAGAAACCGTCTGCTTTTCGTCACGGTGTCCTCTTTTTTTCGCTCCTCGCGCTGCGCGGTGGCTTTTCCGCTGCAGCGTCGGGGCTGCCCTGGGCTTCCCATCAGTCGCACCTCGCGCGCAGGTCTTCAGGGCTGGGTTTCTTGCGAGGGCTTCTTGCGGTCGCGTCCGCACTGTACAGCGATCGTGCCACCACACACAGCCTTCGGCAAGGAGCAAGGGGGAGGAGGAGGATGAGGAGGAGGAGGAGGAGGAGGAGGAGGAGGAGGAGGAGGATGCAGAGGAGGATGAGTAATGAGGAGGAGGAGGAAAGGGGAGGAGGAGGAGGACTAGGAGCAGGAGAGAAAGGAGGAGGAGAAGGAGGAGGAGGAGGAGGAGGAGGGAGGCCTGGGCCACGGATAGCTTCCCCGACTTGGACCCGAGGCACAGCCCGAAGTCCAGCGCCCCTTCTGAGCCCAGTGGCCCTTCTTCCGGCGTCTTGACTGCAAACGTGAACCTCCGGAGCTGCGCGCGGATTTCTTCTTCCATCGGCGCTGGGCACCCCTGGCGGCGTATCCGGCGCGCCACCCTTTGGGCGCGCTCCGCGCGCCCGGGGAGGGGGGCCGCAGCGCCGATCCCAGGGGAGCCGTGCGGGCCTCCGGACGTTGCTGCCGGTGCCGCTCTTTGTTTCCTCCAGGCGACGCGGCCTCCCCCCCCCCCTTATCCTCCTCCTCCTCCCTCTCCTCCTCCTCCTCTTCCTCGACGGCCTCCTCCTCCTCCTCCTCCTCCTCCTCCTCCTCCTCGACGGCATCCTCCTCCTCCAGGCGACGCGGCGGGCATCGTGGAGAGCGCGGGGTGGATACGGCACTACGTCTTCCCGTCGTCCGACGACGTCTACATGGTGTGCAACCGTTCTGCGCTCGCGCGCGGGCCGGGCGGCGGGATCCTGGAGGGCTCCGCGGTCCGGCCTTCGAACGCGACGGCGCGCGCTCTGCTGAACCAGTGGGACGCGTACGGGGACGGGAAGAAGCGGCTGGAGGAGGTCTTCGCGGCGTCGAGCCTGAATTTCACAGCCCTGAGGCTCCAGGCCTCTCCAAACGGGGTCCGAGTAGTTAGAGGGGGGTGGCAGGATCGCGCCGCCTCGCCGAGGCAGCGGCGATGCGGCTCGATGTGGGGCCCGATCTTCCAGACGCCCACGGTGTTGCTGCATCGCCGATGCATCGGCGATGCATCGGCGATGCATCGGCGATGCATCGGGGATGCATCGGGGATGCATCGGCGATGCATTGGGGGTACGGGGAAGTCCTCCCACCCCAGCTGGTCGGACCCCATTTCAAATGGGAGCCCTCCCAACTGGAGGCCTCCCGATTGGAGGCCTCCCATGGGGGCCCGAAGAATATACACCACCACCACCCCCAGACCACCACCACGGTCGATTCCTCCTGCTCTCCTATTTTTTCCAATCCAAGCGAGAGGGAGGGGGTGGAGGGAGGTGGTGGTGTGTAACACTCTTGGTTTGGGGGCCCCCCCCATCTCTGGAGGCCTCCCAATGGGGAGGCCTCCGAGGCTGTGCCGGTAACGTCTGGGGGCCCTAACGAGAGCTACGGGCCGGATTCGTGACCTTCCTGTCGGGCCCTCCGAGAGAGGCCGGCCGTTGCCTGCGCATCAGCAGACAACCCACCCGCGGCAACCCACCCGGTCTTTTCCCTGGGTGACTGTCTTCTTTTCTCGGGGTGTTGCTAGAATTGTCCCTGGCCTGATGGGCTTGTTTTTTTTCCCTCCACCACCACCACCATAAGTTTTGGACGGGGGGAGAGACTAGGATGAGGGGAGGAAGACGAAGAGGAGGAGGAGGAGGAGGAGGAGGAGGAGGAGGAGGAGGAGGAGGAGGAGGAGGAGGAGGTGGAGGTGGAGGTGGAGGAGGAGAACCCCCTCCAACTTATGGTGGCGGTGGTGGAAAACGAGCCCACCACTGGCCCAAGATTCAAGCAGTGGCGAAGCGTCCTGGCTCGCCTATAGCCCTGCCAAGCAATGTTCTAAGAACCTTTTGTGGCTTCCACGAACCGTTCTCAGAACGTTTCCTGGTTGAGATTGTCTTGTTTTAACACATCGGGTTTAAGTTCTAAGAACATTGTTTTTGTGATTAGAATAGTTTTGGGCTCTAAGAACATTTTGTGGAAGGACTACAGGAATGCCGGGACGGTCGGTCCCTGCTCAAAAGATGCCCCCACGATGTTCCCAAGGGCAAGGAGGCCCCCGCGGCTTCCAGAGTCCAGAGCACCCCTCTCGAGGTCCATAGGGGGGCCCAGGGGCTCTCCACCCCTTGCGCGAAAAGCTGGGGGCACCCTGGGCCAGGGGCACCTTCAGCAGCACCCGATCGTCCGGCGCCTCGTTCCGGCCCGGCTTTGTCTTTGCGAGGGACGTCGCCCAGATGGTGCTGCTGCTGGCGCGTGCTGGGCCCCAGCGGGTGCCGGTGAACGTCGCGGTGGCAGAGGCCCCCACGTTCGAGGAGACGGCGCTCGAGGCGCAGGGCTGGGCCTGAACGATGCTTTGCTGGAGATCGGCCGTGTGTTGGGTTTTGGTTCCGGGAGGGAGGCGCAGGGCAGCGGGTGGCGCAGAGCGCAGAACACGAAACGACAACAAGACGCAAAGCACCGTGGACCCGTCCGCCCGCCCCCGCTGCCACGCCCCCTCATTCAGGAGGGGGAGGAGGAGGAGGAGGAGGAGGAGGAGGAGGAGGAGGAGGAAGGGGCGGGGGGAGGAGGAGGAGGAGGAGGAGGAGGAGGAGGAGGAGGAGGAGGAGGAGGAGGAGGAGGAGGAGGAGGAGGAGGAGGAGGAGGAGGGGTCCAGCCCTGCCCGAGGCGTACCAGACGTTGAGGGCCATATCCGGCCGCCTGCGGCAGGCCCCGCCACCGAGCCAGGGCAGCATGCTGGGCGGCGACTCTCCGAGGGAGCGCGGGAGGCCCTCGCGCGTGTGGCTCCCCGGGCCTCTCGGGGGCCTTGCTGGTGCCTCCTGCGGGCCTCTCGGGGGCCTCCCGCGGGGGCTCCTTGGGGCCTCTTGGCAGCGTCTGCGGGGGTGCCTCGGAGGCTCTCGGGGGGTCCGTGGGTGCGACTGGATGCGAGCAGAGGGCCCAGACATCGGGGACCTCGAACAAATCGGGACGGAGGTTTTTCGTCGTTTTCGGCCTCTCGGGGCCCTCGCCGGGCCTCGGGACCGTCAGAAAACGGCCCGGAACGGACAACCGGTCCCTAGGGAAGTGGTCGAGAGGTCGGGGGTCCGTACCTCGAACAAATCGAGACGTCGGACGTCTGGGGGGGGGGGGGTCCCTGCCAGACAGCACTCTGCAGTCCACCTCGCCTCAGCGTGCCAGGGGGCCACGGCGGCGGATCTGCGGAGCGGCCCATCGGCGAGCTCACCTTCGACGCAGGGAAGGAGGTGCCCCTGCTCTCCACCGACGTCGGGCGCCTCGACATCGGCCGGGCGCGTGCGCTCGGCTTCGTGCCCACGCCCTGGCGGCGGGGCTGGTCCGAGACCGTACGGGCCCTCTTCGCGGACTCCGTGAACGACACCATGCGGAGAGCAGACGACGGCAATGAGCAGAGGAACGTTGGCGCAGCTCCGTGCGGACGTCTCGGGTCGGCGTTGGGCCTCCCTGGCTGCGCCTCCGCAGCTGCGCTCTGGCGCGCTCCGCGCGCCAGGGCGGGGGGGTGTCCGGCGCCGGTCCGAGAAGTCCGCGCAGAGCTTCGACCGTTTGTGCTCATGCTTTTTCTGTTCCTGCAACCATGGCCGGGTCTGAGCTTGCGAAGTGCATACGGCACTGTCGGCCCACGTGTTTCTGCGAGCCCAGCGCGGACTTCTTCGTCAGCGTGTGAAGCAAATCAAGCTCTTCGGCCGTCTCCCGGCCCTCCCGGGGGCCTCTTGGCCATTCTTGGGCAGTCTTGGGGGCTTCTCGGACCACATTGGATTATCAGAGGCCCAGAAAAGGAAGAGCACGACTATCATTCAAACATAGCCAGGACATCATTGATGTTTGCTAGTTGAGGCCTTCTTGTGTGTACTCTTGCGGCCCTCTTGGGGCGACTTGTGGGAATCTTGGGCTGTCTTGAGGCCATCATGGTTGCTTCGAGGCCTTTCCTGAGTGTTGGAGCCCGATTCCTTTTCTAGGGCATTTTGGGTATCTCTCTAGAGAGATTTTGCACCCTTGGGTGGTAGTGGGAAATGGGGAGGGGGACAGCCAATTATACGCTTTACCCCGCCAGCAAGTGGGAGTCGGCGGATGACTGGAAGCGCGCTTAGACTCGAAGAGTCGCGCGATTGATGTTGTTTACGGACCCAGAGGGGAAATCTTGATCAAGTGGGGGGGTCCAGGGGGGGCAGTGGCGGCGGCGCTGCTCCTTGAGACTCACGTGGCGATCTCGGATGACCTCCAATATGACCCAATAAACACAATTATCGAACAACCCATGGATTTTCAACACTTTCGTTCAACGCTCAGCGTTTCGCTCGAGACATTCCCTACGCAATGCCTTCGAACGGGCCCTCGAAACCATCTTGTCTCCTCTTTCTCCTCCTCTTCCTCCTCCTCTTTCTTCTCCTCCTCCTCCTGTTCTTCTTCCTCCTCCTCCTCCTCGTCCTTTTCCTCCTCCTCCTGCTCCTCCTCCTCCTCCACCTCCTCCCCTTCTTCCTCCTTCTCCTTCCTCCTTCTCCCCCTCCTCCTCCTCCTCCTCCTCCTCCTCCTCCTCCTCCTCCTCCTCTCCCTCCTTCTCCTCCTCCTCCTCCTCCTCCTCCTCCTCCATGTCTCCCTTTCTTCCTTCTTCTCCAACCTCCTCCTCCTCGTCGTCCTCCTTTTTCCTCTCCTCCTGCCCTCAGCGCACGAGGAGGACTGGCCATGCCCATTGGGGCCATACGATGAAGGATGGAGCTGCGAACCTTCGATGAGGGCGATGGGCGGTGCAGCGGTATCCTGATGGGACGCGGAGGGTACATCCTGAGTGCATCCAATCAGTTTCTCGCTCGATGGAGGACGTGCGACCAGGAGTGGGCGCGGGTGCTGGACGGGCGTCGGCTGCGGGTGCGATCGTTCATCTATGGGTGCCAGCCCAGCGCGTCGTTGACAGCCGCGACCTCGCTCACTGTCCACCGGAAGCTTTGTGTGCGACCAAGGGCCGATTGGATGCCCGCGCGGCTGCAGTTCGAGAAGGCCCAACGGAGCTAGGCCAAAGGGTTCAATTCAATTATATGTGTTTGGTGGCTATTTGGGATATCTGCGACGAGTCTTAGAGGAGGGCCGTGATGTTCACAATTGGGGACGCTGGCAGATGGGCTGGAGGTGCTGTGGTGGTGCTCCAGACGGGGCGAGAGGAGACGGCCTTGAGACATCCCCTCCCGTTTCATGGCGGCTCCAACGCATCAGACGTTGTGATCCGGAATGATCGCGGGGCGGGTTTGCTGGGCATGGCGGGTTGCGTGGCCCAGCGGCGTCAGCCAGCCAAGACGACGGAGCAGACCATCGCGAGGGCAGCGTGCGAGCAGGTGGGAGCAGTGGAACGTTTCCATCGATCCCTCCAGGGTCAAGTTCGAGCGCTTCGATCGGACTTTCGGGATCGTCTCTCCATTGATATTGCCCCAGGTGGTGCGTGATTTTCAATGGTGGTTCGCCGCGGGGCTAGGATCGCCAATCGGTGCCAGATCCAGGAACTAAGCGAGGCGGCGGCGACGCAGTTTCTGAGGGGACGTTCCGTCGCGTCCAAGATCGCGCCTTTCGTTGAGCTCGCGATAATCGAAGTTTTCAATCGAGCCCGAGGGAATTTGCAAGAAGCTGAACGCGCAGTTCGCCAGGGGCGCACGTGTCGGACGAATGGAACAGGAGTGATGGGCATGTCGCGCTGACTCGGCGCGGTTTTGTAACGGGCAAGACGGTGAGAAGGCGGCCGAACGATTCGGAGTTCGACAAGAGGCCCCGCGGGAAGCTGAAGGGAAACGTTGGCCAGGCCAGAACAGTTTCAGCCAGGCGGCGTTGGTGCGCGCCCTGCCGCTGGATGCGCAGAGTCGCGTGGCGGCGCAGGCGTTCGGCAATCAGGACTTGATCGTCGCGCCAGGGTCCGCCGATCGGCGGATGGGGGCGGAGAGGCGCCCGCGGGCGGCGGCGGCAAGTGCGGCGGGGGAAGGCCCAGCGGCAGCGATGGATTTGGATGGCGAGGGCCGAGGAGGCGCTTGGCGATGCCGCGGCTGCGGGCGCTCAGCCTAAACCGCTGACGCGCGCGGGCGACTGCGATTCAGGCGGACGGTCTCCACCGCGCAGGCCGAGGTGGCGGGGGCCAGCGACGGACTCGCGATGGAGGTGCTTTACCCGGCGGCGCTCGAAGGCCGGCTTCCAGGTTCCGAGGCTCGCGGAGATCAAAAGGTTCGGTGATGGCGGCTTCTCGGGGATCTGGCCAGCGGGGGATGCGCATGCTATCGGCGTCGCGATTCCCGTTGACACCCTGGCGGGCCCACCTCGCAGCGAGGAGTCGCGCTTCTGTGGCGGGGAGTTCGCCGCGACGAAGGTTCCCGCGGCGTTCGTGATTGCGAGTGAGGAG